ATGCAACAATGCAATCAAACCAATAATTGAGAGATGAAAAACAATTAATATTATAATTTACATATAAAATCAAAATTGATGTTAGATGTATAAAACTTTGAAGGGTTTTGACTTTTGAGGGTAGGAAAGGGAGAGAGAGGTACAATCGAACCCTTTCTGTCCCTAGCAAGAAAATGAAATCTTGATGTATTCCTAAATTCTCTCTCTTTCCTAAAAATTCTCATGTAATTTTAAAACTTTATTTCAACTAGATTTCCCACTTAGTATGGGAAAAAAACGTAACCTCAAACATAATCAATCTTCCTTTATTCTTGACATAGTCGGTCTCCTATCCTATCACACTTCGAAAAAGTCTCTCCTTCCCCTTCTCCCCCTCCCTCTCCATAAAAATATAAATATAGATGGCAGAGTGAAAAGGCGCGAACTTTTTGGGAAGTGGAGAAAAAGACTTGAGATGGCAGGCTTCAACCCATGCCCATTGAGTTCCTCAGTCGGCGGTGCCATCAAGGATATGTTAAAGGAGTATAATGAAAATTACTGGGTTGCAGAGAGTGATTGTGCCATTTATCTTGGTTGGAAGAAGAGACCTTGAGTAACTTCTTCTGCATGGAGATGACAACTTATTGTAGCACAAAATCTACAAATTTTTCTTTCCATTGTGGATATTACTATTGTTAGTTTGAGTGGTGTTGTTGCTTTCTACGTTTTATAAGGCGAGACAAGTCCTTTCCCACTATATGTGATCTTAGACGACGTTTTGTATGTGCCTGCACAAATAATTGCAGTATGTATTGTCGTTTCAGTTGGATTAACGTGTATTAACCTCAAACATAACCAATCTTCCTTTATCTTTGACAAAGTCGGTCTCCTATCTTATTNTAAACTTTTGATTATAAACAAATGTGTTTTCTTAGTTTTATTGCTAAACTTGGTGACTTGAATCAATTGACACTTAATTCTTGTCTAGAATTAAAAACTAAGTCTTTAATCATTATTGTATGGATTTGAGCAGAATTACCTGANCAAGCTCTCTCCCACTATTTGTGATCTTAGATAACGTTTTGTATGTGCCTGCACAAATAATTGTAGTCTGTATCATGGTTTCAGTTGGATTAACGTGTATTGGCATGCTTCAATCAATCATTAGAGACCATTTACTTCAAACGCTACTCTCTGTAACTCAAGTTTGAACCTTGCCTGATATGCACTCGAATACCATTAACAAAGATCATTCAAACCATTACTCCCTTGGTCCTATTGTGGCTGTGTGGCTGCGTCACTGTGCATTTCTTTGTAGCTACTTGGATACAACGTGAGAACTTTAAATTGTAATTCACAGGACTCCCAAATGTGTGTTTTGTTGAAAATTATCCAAATATGTACTATTTCAATCCATGATCATAACACAAACTCGAAATGTTCACAATTACATGCAGACCACATCAAGGACGAAGCCTGATATGTTTTTTTTTGGGGGGGGGGAGGGGGGAGAGAACTATAGTATAACTACAAGTCTTTTTTTCAACAAACAGTCATTTGATAAGTTATCATTCATATTAAATTATTACCCGAAAATTGAGAAAATTGATTTAAAATTATTAAATTAGTTCAGCAAAAAACTTAAATTATTTCGTCAAAAACTTGTAAGATCAATTTTATCACATAATAACACGGGGACAACTGAATCCTTACAAAATTCGAAAAGCTAAACAATTAAAACAAAGTGTGCAGATCTCTCGAATATATATTTCATTATGTATGATTTTAGTAAATTATACTATATCTCTTAAAACTATAACCCTAACTTCACATTACTCTTCAACTATCGACTTGAACATTCTCCACTATTAATTATTTTGTTTTGTACAAATTGTTAAATTCGGTTTTATAAAAATCGTTTAAATTTTGGAAATAATCCAAGTGATAGTTTTAAATGGTTAATGCAACAATGCAATCAAACCAATAATTGAGAGATGAAAAACAATTAATATTATAATTTACATATAAAATCAAAATTGATGTTAGATGTATAAAACTTTGAAGGGTTTTGACTTTTGAGGGTAGGAAAGGGAGAGAGAGGTACAATCGAACCCTTTCTGTCCCTAGCAAGAAAATGAAATCTTGATGTATTCCTAAATTCTCTCTCTTTCCTAAAAATTCTCATGTAATTTTAAAACTTTATTTCAACTAGATTTCCCACTTAGTATGGGAAAAAAACGTAACCTCAAACATAATCAATCTTCCTTTATTCTTGACAAAGTTGGTCTCCTATCCTATCACACTTCGAAAAAGTCTCTCCTTCCCCTTCTCCCCCTCCCTCTCCATAAAAATATAAATATAGATGGCAANTTAGTATGGGAAAAAAACGTAACCTCAAACATAATCAATCTTCCTTTATTCTTGACATAGTCGGTCTCCTATCCTATCACACTTCGAAAAAGTCCCTCCTTCCCCTTCTCCCCCTCCCTCTCCATAAAAATATAAATATAGATGGCAGAGTGAAAAGGCGCGAACTTTTTGGGAAGTGGAGAAAAAGACTTGAGATGGCAGGCTTCAACCCATGCCCATTGAGTTCCTCAGTCGGCGGTGCCATCAAGGATATGTTAAAGGAGTATAATGAAAATTACTGGGTTGCAGAGAGTGATTGTGCCATTTATCTTGGCTGGAAGAAGAGACCCTTAGTAACTTCTTCTGCATGGAGATGACAACTTATTGTAGCACAAAATCTACAAATTTTTCTTTCCATTGTGGATATTACTATTGTTAGTTTGAGTGATGTTGTTGCTTTCTACGTTTTATAAGGCGAGACAAGTCCTTTCCCACTATATGTGATCTTAGACGACGTTTTGTATGTGCATGCACAAATAATTGCAGTATGTATTGTCGTTTCAGTTGGATTAACGTGTATTAACCTCAAACATAACTAATCTTCCTTTATCTTTGACAAAGTCGGTCTCCTATCTTATAACACTTTGAAAAAGTCTCTCCCTCTCCCTCTCTGTATAAATATAAATATAGTTGAAAGGGTGGAAAGGCATGAACTTTTTGGGAAGTGGAGAAAAAGACTTGAGATGACAGGCTTCAGTCCATGCCCATTGAGTTCCTCAGTCGGAGGTGCCATCAAATATATGTTAAAGGAGTATAATGAAAATTATTGCGTTGCAGAGAGTGATGGTGCCCTTTATCATGACTAGAAGAGGAGACCTTTAGTAACTTCTTCCACATGGAGATGACAACTTATTGCAACACAAAATCTGCAAATTTTTCCTTCCATTGTGGATATTACTAGTGTTAGTTTGAGTGGTGTTGTTGCTTTCTACTTTTTATAAGGTGAGACAAGTTCTTTCCCACAATATGTGATCTTAGACGACGTTTTGTATGTGCCTGCACAAAGAATTGTAGTATGTATCATCGTTTCAGTTGGATTAACGTGTATTGGCATGCTTCAATCAATCATCAAAGACCATTCACTTCAAACGCTACTCTCTGTAACTCAAGTTTGAACCTTGCCCAATGTGCACTCGAATACCATTAACAGAGATCATTCAAACCACTACTCCCTTGGTCCTATTGTGGCTACGCCATTGTGCATTTTTTGTAGCTACTTGGGAACAAAGTGGGAACTTTAAATTGCAATTCACATGACCCCCAAAATTTTTTTTGTTGAAAATTATCCAAATATGTACTATTTCAATCCATAGTCATAACACAAACTCGAAATGTTCACAATCACATGCAGACCACATCAGGGACGATGTCTAAATTTTTTTTTTTTTTNACCACTACTCCCTTGGTCCTATTGTGGCTACGCCATTGTGCATTTTTTGTAGCTACTTGGGAACAAAGTGGGAACTTTAAATTGCAATTCACATGACCCCCAAAATTTTTTTTGTTGAAAATTATCCAAATATGTACTATTTCAATCCATAGTCATAACACAAACTCGAAATGTTCACAATCACATGCAGACCACATCAGGGACGGTGTCTAAATTTTTTTTTTTTTTTTTGGGGGGGGGGGGGGGGAGAACTATAGTATAACTAGAAGTTTTTGTTCAACAAACAATCATTCGATAAGTTATCATTTATATTAAATTTTTGCCAGTATATATTTTCAATGAAATTGAGAAAATTGATTTAAAATTATTAAATTAGTTCGGCATAAAAACTTAAATTATTTTGTCAAAAACTTGTAAGATCAATTTTATCACATAATAACACAAGGACAACTAAATCCTTACAAAATTTGAAAAGCTAAACAATTAAAACAAATTGTGCATATATCTCGAATATATGTTTCATTATGTATGATTTTAGTAAATTATATTATATCTCTTAACCTATAACCCTAACTTCACATTACTCTTCAACTATCGTTTTGAACACTCTCCACTATCAATTATTCTGTTTTGTACAAATTATTAAATTTGATTTTACAAAAATCGTTTAAATTTTGAAAATAATCCAAGTGATAGTTTTAAATGGTTAATGCAACAATGCAATCAAACCAATAATCGAGGGAAAAAAAAATAATTAATATTATAATTTAAATCAAAATTGATGTTACATGTATAAAACTTTGAAGAGTTTCCACTTTTGAGGGTAGGAAAGGAAGAGAGAAAGCTACGGTCGAATCTTTTCCGTCCCCAACAAGCAAACAAAATCGTGATGTATTCCTAAATTCTCTCACCTTCCTAAAAATTCTCATATAATTTTAAAACTTTTTTTTCAACTTAGATTTCCTACTTAGTATGAAAAAAGAACATAGTTTCAAACATAACCAATCTTCTTTTATCCTCGATAAAATAGGTCTCCAATCCTGTAACACTTCGAGAAAGTCTCTCCCTCTCCCTCTCCCTCTCCCTATAAATATAAATATAGATATACGTAACAGCAACATAACAAGAAACACAACGAACTTTGTGAATACTACTACTAGACTTCTGTTGTTAGCCTCCTGTGTCTTGTTCTTGTCATTCTTGTTTTTTTGTTTAATTTATCATGGTGGGTTCAAATTCTGAGACGCCCACAAGGCCAAGGGCTTCTGATCACAATGATGTGGTGTTTTCTTTTGAGAATCTTGGGTTGGGAGAGAATGAAACGACTCCAAGTCGACCAAGTTATTCGTGGAACATCTCGTCTGCTCAAAACCAGAGACAGGGGATTGGTAGTGATGAACAGTGCCAATGGAGGTCCGGTGAACCGTCTTTGATTACCCGGGTTTCGGATAAACCAGAGTTCTCATCAAGAATCTTTAATCCTCAGGATAATATCTGGGCATATGACTATTGCGACTATGGACGTAAGTTTCTATGCTAATTAACTTTTTTATGCCATGATTATGTGTCTGTGTGTTTATTTAATGTGTTAGTGTACATCAAATCTCCCTATACCTGTAATGACCGGAGTCTTGTGCACTAGGCTGCTTTTTGTGTGCATTTGTTGTGATGTGCAATGTGTATTTATGTCGGAATTGGAGAAACTGAGTTTTCGTTTTCGGGTTTTGTAGGAGGTAGTCTGATTTCAGACCTGCATTCTGGTCCAGGGAGTTGTATTGGATCAATGGATCATAGGAATAACTTTCTAGATAATAATACAGCAAATTTTTCTGGAACTCTAAACGGGAGGAAAGTGAGCATGAATTCTTGTTATGAAAGTCCTTCAACAAGTAATTCGGTGAACCTGTTGAGAGGACAATCTTTCTTGAATGATCCGGCCAATGGGTACAGACTTGGATTTGGAAACACAGATGATTACAGGATGGACATGTACAGCGAAAACCAATTTCCTTATGATCAGAATCATCAATTTATGGGGATTACAAGCAATGAATTTTATTTGGGTAAACGATACAATTTGTACGATGGTGATCGGGCATATACCAGTGGTTCATTGAAACAGCATATGAGCCAATATGATGGCCAAAGATCTGTTATTTCTTCCCGAGGACTCGACATAGTGACAATGGCCATGACTAAAAATGGCTCGCAGCTGTTGCAAAGTTTTTTGCAGGGTGGAATCTATGAGACCAATATTATACTTGAAGGGGTTCTTCCGTGGATTTTTGAGGTGATGAAGGACCATAATGGGCGTCATGTCTTTCACAAGCTACTTGATGTGTGCAATTCCCGTCAGCTGGAATCACTCTTCATGAAGCTAATGTCGCAGAGTGAATTATTTTTGGAAGTAGCAGTCAATTCACATGGGTGAGTACCCCTCTCCTTATTAGACCAAATCCCTCCTTTTCTGCTAATTATATATTTTGCTGGTCTGAAGGCATGTAATTGCTTTAACAGCTCGCATTCAGTTCAAAAACTTATCCAAAAGCTGAAGAAGACACCGTTGGCCTATTCTCTGACACACTGTCTATCCACTAAGATTTGTGAACTCATGATGCACTCGCAAGGCCTACATGTTATTAGACAGTGTCTTTACAAACTGGGTGATCAGCCAAATCAGGTAATTGAATTTTTTCCATAGCTGCTTCTGGACACAGTTCTTAATCATTCCCATCATGCTTGCTTTAAACATTGATCCACCACCTCAACAGACCAATATTTCATGGGGATATTGTAGTTTAACCAACAACCTGTAAGCCTTTTTCTTAATAATCCAAGTCTGGTCATTTTGTTTCTTGTGTATGATGTGTACTAATTTGTATGACAAGGTCCTTTGTATGTCATTTTGTTGAATCATTGATATCTCACCGCCAATCTCTCGTGATATCTCAGATTTAAGCATATGCATCAACTCAATATGTTTCAATTTATTTACCCAGGGGGAAAAGAACTCAATCTGCTGCAGTTGTAGGACAACATTTAGTTTAGTGTTAAAAACAGAGAAATGTAGTATGCCTACGTCACTCATCTCATTTGTTCTCAGGTACTATATGATGGAATAATAAAGCATTTTCTAAAGATTGCTACAGACAAATATGGTTGCTTATCCTTCAATCAGTGCATCGACTGCATAAGTGGTGAACCAAGAGAGAGACTTCTAAATCGTATAGCAGATGAGTCAGATTACCTTTCAAATGATCCATTAGGGTACGAATTAATTTCTCAGCCAGATATCCAATGAAGTATAAGTATATGCCTAAGTTTTCGTGGAATTGTACCTCATTCACAAGTTTATTGTCTTTCTCCAGGAATCATGTCGTGCAGCATGTCCTCTCACTTGACAACCTGGAGATAAGTGAGAAAATCTGTGATCGTCTCCGGGGCAAATATGTAGAGCTTTCATTGAAAAAAGGTGGCAGTCATATAGTAGAGAAATGCATAAAATCATCCCTAAAAGGGTTGGTTTATGTGGTTCATGAGATCTTAAATACCAAAAATGCACCTTCAAAACTTGCTCGACATATGTTCGGAAACTATGTGATCCAAACAGCTATAAAGACGTCAAAGGTAATTCTATTACCAATAGTAGTCTCATGCATATCAGAATTAATAGCTCCTGTGCAACTATCCGTTTGCCCCATTACCAATAGAATGAAACTACCAAATCTTAATCTGATTACCTATTCGTGAAGCCAAGACTTTGATATAGTAACTTCTACTTTCACATAATTGTCAAGTTAACTGTCTCACAATTTACTGGTTTTCTGCTTGCAGAAAAATCATCCGGTGCTTTATGAAAATCTTGTTAATGTCCTCCGACCATATCTCCACAGGCTGGCGAACCCTAATGGTGGTGAACAAAAGATAATTGCCCTGATCAGTGACGGAGTCCCTAGAAGTCGAGCAAAGTTTAATCCGGTAACAAGCCAACTTTGAGAAAGGAATTTTGTTTGAGCTTAGTATCAGGTTTTTTCTGTTTTTTTGGAACTTTGTTTTATTTTTTGCCCTTCGACTGCACTGAGGGCTGTGATTCATTATTCCCATGATGGGAGCTTGTCCCACTTTTGTTAGTTTGATAGATAGCTTGAAAGGCTCTTTCTGGTCCGTTATTTTCATTGTGGGGTTCTTGCTTCTTAGGTATAACTGTCTGTGACTAGTATCAAATAGATATTGTAGTTTTATTGTACTTGTACAAGTTGATTAAATGCCTGCTTTTCTCTCTCCACAATCACATGACGCACATAAACAGATAATTTGCTTTTGTGTAAAGAAACTTTGATAATAATAATAATAAAAATAATAATAATAACAAATCCCAAATGACAGCTCTTTCTTCCAGTAACATCGGTCTTTTCATGAATCCTGCCCACCACAAAAAAAATTTAGCTATAAATTTCATGTAATCAATCAGGACCAACACATTAACAGAATAAGGGCAAACACACAGCATTGGACATGATATTTGTACAATGTGAGAGAGAGTAGAGCCCCATGATAATTTCAACACATAGATCTGATACCAACTAAGAATCAAGCCAAAATAGAAAACATGGACAAGACCAATACGTTCCTACTAACCAAAATTGCAAATGTACATACAACACTCATATATTCTCATATTCAGAAAACAATACATGATGGACATCATTCCGGGATCATGCCAAGAATGAAAACAAAACTGAATTTGATTTATGAGCACAATGTAACCTCCTTCAAACACAAACTCTGCTGCCAGGTAGAATTTATTCTGGCTGACGAGGCCAGGCATTTTCATCTATGCAGGCAACACTCCTATGAGGGCGTCCCCCCAAGTTCATTCCTAGAGAGAGGACAAAAGAGGGAGAATAGAAAAGTACAAATCGCACTCGCAAGAATCATGAAATAGTAACTATTTCGAATCGGTGAAGATTCTGTATTTTTCTGATTTGTCCACACCACAAATCACAAAATGCAATCCACACTATGGATTCGAAAGCCATATATCCTACTAAAATGAGCCACACTGAACCTTCTGAGATTCCAGAACAGTCCTTGCAGCCTCTTTAATTACTTGTCCACTCACATAGTGCTTCCGACACACGGGCATGTACACATCAGCCCCAGCAATCAGTTCTGTTTCTGTCTCCTCCGTCTTCCTTAAGGTGAAAAAAGCACGCTTACCACAGAGCTCGCACCGAGCATTTAACTTGGTTACGGAGTCAGCAATTGGAATTATATCAAGCACCGAACCAAAGCTCCTTCTGTCGACAAAATTTGAACCCACAGTCAAATGACAATCTAAAAGAATACATTTTTTCCTTGAAGGTTAAAAGAAAATTATGCTGTACAGGCAAATGAAAAGATGAGGTTGCGGCCAATGATTGACAGGGGACACATATACCTAGTCTTAGGTGACAAGCAAAAAGTACTTCCCTTTGGTACATGAAAAGGGCATTAAACATTTGAAATACATGAAGATAAACAGAAATAGTACCTCAAATAGTCACCATCCAAACCAGCAACTATTATAGTTTTACCATCATGATCAGCAGCTTTGCTGCAGAAATCATAAAGGTCTTCAAAAAATTGTGCTTCATCAATACCGATCACATCTAGCTGTCACAGTGCAAGAGTCACAAGTAATATTACTGAAAATGTACAAGAACGACAGCAGCCTTAAAACAAGATTGCCAAGAATGTTCTAAAATGGCAATCTTATGCCATTCTTCTAGATTGCACAAAATGTCTTTTGATAGGCAGACGCACATTCCTCAATATACACATAAGCACTTTTTGTCACACAGCATCAAATTCTCATATTTAATACCTTATCATAAGCTTCAGGACCAAATCTTTGTGTGAATGATGACAGATCCGCCAATGGCCAACATGGCAATTTCTCACCATCATGAGTCACAATTGAATCCAATCCATATCTTGTATCTTTGTTTGATTTTATTAATGCTACATTTCTGCACAACATTACATGTACAAAAATAAAAAAGGAAATTGTAAGATGAACGTCAAACATTTCTATTATCATGCAAAGTTCTTCTAATTCAACACTTGTTCACTTCCTATCCACAGAATGAAAATCAGGTAACCTAAACTGGCATCAAGTGTAGTCTTATTGTACTTAATAAAGGAATACAGGCAAATGAAATATATCTCACTGTGCCCCATTAGAATATGTACTCCAATGCAATTTGGGGTCTTAGGGTGACTAGCAAAACAAGAAAAACAAGGAACATTGTAGCATTGAGAAGAAATGGATTTAAACACCCCAACTGCAAAAAGGAAAAAAAGGAAATTCCCCAAATTAATAAATAACTGTATTAAATAATACCTTTCCAACATAAGGGCTACATTGGCTACATCGGAAATCCAATCTAACATAGTGTTCTTTCAAGGTTCCAACATTCCATGCTTTCAGACTAGCTGATTGGACTGAAGGATAGAAATGGTTACAAACCACAAATGTTAGTACCAACAATCAGTGGATCTCCTCAATTGAATGCGGCCAGAAGAGAAACAGAAACTCAAACTCCACCTTTTCATACTCTACAAATTCCAATGGGACTAAAATTGTTAACCTTTGGATAAGATGTATATTTCAGATGGGAAAGGTAGGGTTGCGAGAGAGAGAGAGAGAGAGAGATCCAAAGGAAACCAGATCAATCAAGAGATAGTAGTTTGACCAAATATTTTTTTCCTAGGCTAGGACGGTAGTGGAGAGTAACGATTTCCCTATCTCTTAACGATTGCCCACCTTCTTGCTTTAATGCCATCCTGAAAGGCAGTCCAAGTGTATGGCATCTCACCAAGCTTCCTGGAAAAGGAGAAAGAATTGGCTGAGCAGGCTCGTCTTGGATGTGCATAGCTTGAATAGCTCGTCATAAAGGACTTCTTTCACAATGGTCTCCGAGGGTGCGAATTTTTTGTCCAACGCCGCCATCGCGAAACTAAGGAGATCAGGAAAAAATTGATAATTTCCTCCCCAAAACACATCCATTGAGCACTTGTTGCATTGCCATAACATTCTGACAGGTACTAATTTTGGCTCTGGAGAATCCAAACTGACAAATTCTTTGGTAAAATCACCTTGACATGCTTCTACAAAGTATGAATGTAAAAACAATATCGACACAACAAGGCAGGGTACTCCATCTTCCCATTCCAATCCAAGTACCATTTTGTATCTGAAACTTTCCCTTGTGACCTTAATGATATATGAATGAAGAACCAATATTAACTCAAATGATTCCAAGGATCTAAATTATCATACATGGACAGATTTGTGTATGCAAATCTATAATTCATTCCAAACCTAAAATTCAACTACAATATATTCAAGGAGATTACTTTTTCCCCGTTCCCATACTAGCATTTAATTTTAAACCTAAACTCAATCATAACAATGAAAATTAAAGCAGAGGGAGGGAGCTACGAACCTGCCATGACTGCTCTCGGACTTGATTCTGCGGAGAAGAGTGGTGGTTTTTCCGGCAAACATGGGTCCCACGATCACGTGAATCTCTCCGGATTCCCGCGGAGACGCTGCAGTTTGTAAGCTACGAGTTGCTTCGTTGGGGTTTGCCGGTATTGAGGAACTGAGAGAGGACATAGTGGGTTTCATCAAATTGAAAAATTTAGGGTTTTGGAGATGTGTGGAATGGAAGTTGCAGAGTGTCGATTGAGATATGCGTTGGAAATAAAGTGAGGAATGAGTGGCGGCTTTGGGGAGAGTTGGGGTTATGAAAGACTTCATTCTTGATACACTTAACATGTATTGCTGAAGGGTTTTGGTCACTGTTTTTCAGGGTTTGGGTTATGTATCCATACACACGAGGGAAGACTATAACAGTGGCCTGGAAGAGACTACCATTACCATAGCACAGATACGTACGAGAGAGAGAGAGGTGGCTCCGGTATTAGGGGCTGGGCTTGGAGAGAAAGTTGATAAAGCGCGACTTTTTAGTAGAGAGAAAGCGAGCGCCAAACAGGGGTAAGAAGTGGGGTCCCCTAATTGAATAAGAAGTGTTTCCTTACACTCCATTCATTTGTATTCAACGGCCGGCCAATCCACTGTCAAGGTGCTAGATCAGTGGAAGAACATACATACCAGCCTTGGTGGTCAAAGGTTCATTTTTTTAATCATTTTATTTTATTTTTTTGTCAATTTAATTTACGTGTAAAACTTGTTCGGAACTCATTTCTTAATTTAGTTTGTTTACATTGAACTCACAATTTTTTAACCTAAAAATATGTTTTTAAAACACACCGAGTAACAGAAGGTTAAAGAATAAACTTTGAACTACTATAAACCTAAGATAAATATTACAAAATTCTAAAAATCTCTAAGATTGTCATCATAAAACCACTAGGTTAATTAAGTTATTCATGTGTCTCGAATGCATATGTCTAGTAGAGATGTATGCTAAAAAGTTTACAAGTAAATTAGACATTTATTAATTATTCGTTACGTCGCAGTTTCTATTAGATTTTAAACTTTTAGTAAATACACTGTCAAAGTGAAAAATTTATTCATTAATAGTAAGATAAAATGCATGGTGGTTCATCCCTTGCCTCCACATGAGGCAAGCATTCGTGGGTTTGTGATTAGAAAATTTAGCTTACATGTATTGAATGATTATATCAACTATCAAATTTTGTATATCAAATTATTCAATATTTAGTGTAGATGAATAGAATGTATTAATTCATACATTACAACCATCTAATTCACCAAATTTGATAAGAAAATTGTTAAGTATAGCATTGTATTTTATGTAATAAAAATGAAGTTTAACAAAAAATGAAAAAAGAAAGGTGACTTTTCCTTTCCATTCCAAATTTAAAACTAAAAACTCTAAACTTGCAAGTCACCATCCTTCATCGTCTTCGATTCTACATTTCTTATACGAGAGGATAGCCAAAGTGCGCGCTCTCTCTCTCTCTCTCCATACATATTATATGGTATATATCTAATAATACCGATTTCAGATGTAAGATCAATCTCCCCAGACCACACTTTCTCTTTCTCTATTCATTAGATAAAAAAATCATTATATCTTTGGCAATTGAATTACGAGTGGATTTGGAAGAACAAACGAAGAGATAGAGAGGAATATAGAGGGCCTTTAGCCGTCTGCTCTTTATATTCTTCCTCTCAGATCTTGAATTCTATCCATTTCTCATCTGGGTCTTGCTCAATTGGTAATTTACAGCTAACTATTTCGATAGAAGTTGACGGTTTCATGGATTATAAGTCAAACTTTAAACTATTGCTTTGTTTTCTAGGAACCCTGCATTGTGGGTTGATCGGTTTTCGATCTGTAAAAGATCAGAAGTTCGCCACTTTAACCATAGATTACTCATTTCCAATCTAATTATTAGAATCTTCAAGTTTCTGATAAATTCTTTGGTAAAGTATGATTCTTCCTACTTCATCTACATTATTAAATGTATAATGGTTTTTTATCAACGGAAGAGTAGATTGTTTATCCTTAGAATTATATGAAAATTGGAAACCAAGTCATGTTTGGATTTGTTTTCTTCTAATTGTACTACGTGACTGATTAGATCCATGGTTTACTTGTTCAGTTGTTGATTTGTTTAGTGCAGACAAGGAATTATTGTGTCATTGAAAATTTGAATTATCTGATATATTAATTTGCTTTGAATTTGATCTATGGAAATTTTGAGTGATGGGATGATAGGGAATGTGCTTGTGCAGGATGGAAATGGAACCTGGCAAGTTGTTCATTGGTGGAATTTCTTGGGATACCAATGAAGACATTTTAAGAGAGTATTTCCAGAATTTTGGTGAAGTAGTGGAAGCTGTGATAATGAAGGATCGGGCTACAGGCCGTGCCCGTGGTTTTGGCTTCATTGTTTTTGCTGACCCTGCTATTGCAGAAAGAGTTGTTAAGGAAAAGCACATGATAGATGGGAGAAATGTAAGTTTCGTATATCAATTTTATGTTCTTCTTTGAATTGTGAACATTTAATCAAATTTAAATCTGTAATCTGATGGTATTATGAGCTGAACAATTACATATGGAATTCTGTTTTCCAAATCTATAATTTACTTGAACTGTGAGGTGTATCAGATAGTAATTAGAGTATAATGATCTCTATTACCTTTATTAAGCTTATGTATTCCAAATGACTTCATGGTAACATCTGATTAGTTAGGTGATTTTATTAACAAAAGCTTAATTAAGATGGAATTTTTTTTCCCGAAAGACATGGAATGCATCTGCCATCTGGTGCCTTGTCTTATTACCAAACTTAGTGAAGCATACTAGAGTGCCTTTGAGAAAGGCTTAGAATTAGTAGAGTGAGATTGATTAGTGCACTACAGAATGCCATAAAAGGAATATGTCAAAGAAATAAGTATTGTCTTGTGTTATTATTAGGGTTCTCAGGATGCCAACTGATACGGAAGGAAAGCTCCGGAATAGGTTAAAATGTCACTGTAGATGACTCTAATTAGGATGGTGTAAACATTTTTTTGGAATAGTTGGGTATTGAAAAGCAAGGGAGAGGAGCATAAGATATTAAACCCGAATTAACTCTTAGAAGATTTTTTTAGGTAACATTTACCANTTTTTTGGAATAGTTGGGTATTGAAAAGCAAGGGAGAGGAGCATAAGATATTAAACCTGAATTAACTCTAGAAGATTTTTTTAGGTAACATTTACCTTACTATTGTCAGATATTTTAGTGATTTATAGGTAGCAAAAGAAAAGACATTGGTTGGAGATTTGTCTTAATTTAATGAATCATGCTTCTGAACCATCGATTAATTAATAGGGCAGACATAACGGATTTTGCAATCTAAAGACAGAAGATGGAAACCTCATGAATTCTGTTGGTACAACCTGAGTACGAGCTAATATCCACCCTGCTGATCATGCAATTCTAAGCAATAAAAATCTCCATGAATCCCGGAAGTAAAAGCAAAGAAGATTATGGTCATCAGATTAAAAAAAATGAATTGGCTGAATTCTTCTTTCATTGTATGTATTTTCTTCCTCAGGTTGAGGCAAAGAAGGCTGTTCCTAGAGATGATCAACGAATGCTGAACGGAAACAATGGCAGCATTCAGGGATCGCCTGGTCCTGCTTGCACAAAGAAGATATTTGTAGGAGGTTTAGCATCCACCGTCACAGAGAATGACTTCAAGAACTACTTTGATCAATTTGGGACAATCACTGATATTGTGGTCATCTATGACCACAACACTCACCGGCCTAGAGGTTTTGGATTTATCACTTATGATTCGGAGGATGCCGTAGACAAAGCTATGCACAAAACCTTCCATGAACTCAAAGGTAAAATGGTTGAGGTAAAGAGAGCTGTTCCCAAAGAGTTATCACTGGGGCCAACTCGGAGCCAGTTAGGTGGGTATGGCTATGGTGTGGATAGAGTCCGTAGCTCTCTTAGTGCCTACACTCCGGGATTTAATCCAAGCTCAGTTGGAGGCTATGGAGTGAAAGTGGATGGTAGATATAGCCCAGTTACGGTTGGTCAAAGTGGATATCCACCATTTAGCCTTTCTGGTTTTGGTGTGGGACTGAATTTTGAGTCAAGGCTGAGTCCAAATTATAGGGATGGTGGAAACTTTAATTCCGATCTTGGCTATGGCCATGGCTTGAACCCTCTTTATAGCGTGCATTTAAATAGGTATGGCAGTCCCACAGGGTATGGCGTGGGTAGTGGCAGAAGTGGTTCTGTTTTAAGTTCAACAAGTCGGAATATGTGGGGGAATGGGAGTTTTAATTATCCTGCAAACTCTACTGATTCCATGGGACTTGAAAGTGGGAGTAGTGTTGGAGCTTTTGGCAGTGTTGGAGCAATTTGGGGGTCCTCTCCTGGCTCAGGTCAAGGTGGAGGAACTGGTTCTACTTTTAGTAGCTGCAATGTTACTTATGGGAGTGCTGAAAACAATCTTGGGTCGAGTGGGGGAGGCTATGGAAGAAACAGTGTGATTGGCATGGCTCCAATGTTGTCATATGCTGGAACAAATGATGTTAATGATAGGTCTCTTGGAAACTTCTTTAGTGGTGGTTCATTTTATGGGGACCCCACTTGGCGGTCATCATCTCCGGAGCTAGAACGCTCTGGCTCTGGCTCTTTTGCTTATGGGTTTGGGAATGCAGCTTCAGATGGTACTCCTAGAAACCCCATTGATTTTGTTGGTAATTATAGTGTTACCAACAGACCAAATAGAGGTACATATTTCGTCTTTCCTATTTCTTCATTTTTGTTGCATTTTTATTCTTCAAAATTTTTTGAATTGCATTTGAGTGTCACATATGACCCTCCCTAAGACCCCACAGTGACAGGAGAAATGTGAAGTGGGCTGCCCATTTTCTTTTCTGTGTTTCAAAGTTTTATGCAAAAGCTGATCAANTGAGTGTCACATATGACCCTCCCTAAGACCCCACAGTGACAGGAGAAATGTGCAGTGGGCTGCCCATTTTCTTTTCTGTGTTTCAAAGTTTTATGCAAAAGCTGATCAAAGATAATTTTGCTCCATAAACCTTTGCCATTTACATTCATTGTGTTTGATTGTTCATGTCTCTTGTTTTCTTACCTTAACTCAATGCTCAAAACTCATTGTTATCATAAGGCCATCTAAAATATATATACCAATATCAATATTGCCAAACCATATAATTCTATCTATCTAATTACTGTATGAGGAGTCGTTTCCTTGGCATATGAATCAATCAAAAGTTGGCCTCTTGGGCTGAGTGTGTGTTTTATTTGGTGATGTATTGCAACCTAATATGAATGTAGATCAATGCATTTGCCTCCCAGGAATGTGAGAAAATGCACTTTAGTTTGATTGTTTCTACTTGTTTGGCATTTGGTTTCCAGTTTGACTGTAATGTAACATATCTGTTTCATTCCTGTTTATCAAGGAAATAGTAATGAAAAGAAACCGGACTGGGAAAGTAGTATATGATCGAAAAAGATAGATTGTACGTTGTATAATTTTAAATCTACTCAATTGGGTAATGACCTTTTATACCTTACTCAACAAAGTCCCCACCTATTTGTGTCGTCTAGCGTCGATCAGCTATATCAATAGTCATGTCTACCCTTAAACTACCTCTATACCATTAAACCTGTCGGTGTCAGTGATTAGGTGTAGATCTCTTATTTTACAGTAGCCACTTTCAAAGTGTATTTTCTCCTTCCAAAGGGCACAGGCACAACCATCACTGGCAANGTCTAGCGTCGATCAGCTATATCAATAGTCATTTCTACCCTTAAACTACCTCTATACCATTAAACCTCTTGGTGTCAGTGATTAGGTGTAGATCTCTTATTTTACAGTAGCCACTTTCAAAGTGTATTTTCGCCTTCCAAAGGGCACAGGCACAACCATCACTGGCAACCCACTCTGTCTCGTAAGAAGAATGGGCAAGGGGCATTCCTGGAACAACTGGGACTAGAAAGGAAGTCAACTCATTCTGCATTACCTCAGGTCATTGGTTACAATCCAGTCAACTCCAACTTTAGTAATGAGCATAACGGCCCTATTGTTCCGATGGAAAACTAATCAGACTTTATAAATTTACTTGCCAAAGATCTGTGGCAGAGTACTGACCAGGGAAGAAGGATGGAATTTGCTGGTTTTGCTGTTGTAAGAGCTATCAGAAAATCAGACTAGTGTAAAGAATTCACACTAAAATGTTTCCATAAATTGTGCTGTCTTTAAATTCACCAGTTGCTTGAATGTTCGACTGAAACAGATTACAATTTGGGTTGCTATTCTCTTTTATGGTCCTTACGTGCTCTTGGCTGATGTTTTCTTCAGGGATTGCTGTATAGGACAATTACTATGAGGATGTAACAAGGTGGTTGCAGGTGAAAATTATGTGGTGAATCAAAATAGACTGAACCACTCACATTCACTCAGCGAGATACTTTGGTTTAGACGTACATTTCATTATGGCTAATTGGAGCACCTGTTTCATAGAGCTCAAAACAGCAAGCAGTTGCAAAGGATGTCGTGTAAGGTTTGAGCTTGAGTAGGTTTCTTTCTTGGAATTTTGATTGAGATGTAAATTGAATTGCGGGATATACTCGGGAGCTATTGTATCATGCATCTCTAGGTACATGAGAACCCACAAAAAGCAGAGTACATTTATTACATTTTTCCATTTTTTTTTCCGCTGTAATGTCCAGCAAATTTGCTGGTTCTTGTGAGATATGTTATCTTTGTTTCCCTTCCCGGGATTTGTTACTGGCTGGTTGTCTGAAATGTTGCTGATTAATTAGTGTGAGGACTCTCAGAAGAAGCTAAGCTGTTCAAAATAAGAAGTTACTAGATATTGATTCATTTTCATGACTTGTTCATTGACAAGAGCGCTAACCTAGGTTTTCTAACTCCAGGGAGAGATCCCTTGACCCTTCAGTCCCTGCACGTCCAAGTGATTTTTCTTTTTCCTTCTTTTTTTTCTTCCCAATGCCCATCCCACCTCTATCCGTTAACCAAAGGATTGTACAGAACTAAAACAAAATGGCGAGGTACAGAACTAAAACATGGCAAATACTATCACAAATCGTTATCTACTTGAAAGTCATTTACATTTCGAATCCACTTTCGCCTATAGCCATTGTCTCGAATCATTGTTAACGGCCTTGGCACAACCAGAGGTACAANGGCGAGGTACAGAACTAAAACATGGCAAATACTATCACAAATCGTTATCTACTTGAAAGTCATTTACATTTCGAATCCACTTTCTCCTATAGCCATTGTCTCGAATCATTGTTAACGGCCTTGGCACAACCAGAGGTACAAAAAATGGAGAAAAAGTCCGTTGGATCTAACTCTAGGATGAACAACACCCACCCCTTTTGGTTTGCCCTTCTCCTTGGTTCTCATCAGCCTGAATAACTACAGTTCTTCCATTACCCATCCAGCCAGGATCTTTTTGCTTGAGCTCCTGGGATTGAATAACTTTCCGGCTCAAAATGTTGTAGATCTCTCTAACAACTGTCCGGAAGGCAGCAGCTACATTGGAGGAATCGAGAGCTGAAGTTTCCATGAAAAACAAGCCCTGGGTCTCAGCCAACGCCCTGCCTTCAGCTGTTGTAACCTCCCTGGCATCTTTGAGATCTGTCTTGTTGCCAACAAGTATTGTAACTACATTCATGTCAGAGTGAGCTGTTCAACAAATTAGCCACCCAAGTTAACCACTGGTAGCTCAAGCAAGGATAAAATAAATGTAAGACAATCATTTCTATAAGAATTTAAGAAAGGTATAAAACCCACAATTACCTAATACATATTGTATAGCGAGAAAAATGTATTACTGTTGATCATTAATTTCCAAGTTGTAATGGAAAATAAAGCACTTGGACATCCTACTGAATGACAGAAATGAAGATAATTTCAATATCAGAGCATGAGTTTGTTACACAAAACAGATACATCGCTCATAACCATACTCGAGCCTAGAAAAACACCGTCAATAACCAACTCAGCCTATCTAAGCAGTATACCACTTTTCTCTTTGACCGGTCACATTAATCTTTTTCCATCCTCTCCTCTTCAAAGCACAAAATTCTGTGATTTCATCAAACGCATATTTTGACATACAAAAATTAAGAAAAGGTAAGTCAGTTCCATCTCTTATTCTTTATTTTAGGTTTGGTAAGTGAAATCAATAAACTGTCATTAATTGGACAAAGAACTGTAAATAAACAAAACCAACCAACCACAATTATATTGAAAACTTACACATGGATGCAATCATCTTATTTCTTGGTGTAAAACTTTCCTAATCCTGATTCAAAATATTGGAGATGCAGTTCTTGATCACACACACATGCACAAAAGCATAAAACAAGAAGAAGCAAACCATAATTTTTCATGTTGCTTACTGTGAAGTTCATTAAGCCATCTGCCAATACTATCAAATGTCTGGCGTCTACTGATGTCATAGACCAGAATAGCTCCAACAGCACCTCTGTAATATGCAGATGTAACAGCCCTGAATCGCTCCTGACCAGCTGTATCCCAAATCTGTGCCTTAATTTCCTTCCCACTGATTTCCATCTTCTGGGTCTGGAACTCTACTCCTATAGTAGATTTCGAATTAGGGTAAAACTCGTCTCTGGCAAACCTAGCAAGCAAATTTGATTTCCCAACAGCTGAATCACCAATCAAAACAATCTTGAAAAGGTAATCCTCAGTTTGTTCCTCCTCAGAATAAAACGCCATCTTCACCCGTTGAACAATGCCAAACGCTAGAAAACCATATCTAATAGTACATGGCCTTAATAAACTTGGTTCTTTCCAAAACCTAAATTTCCAGAAGAATATCAAACTGTACCCAATTTAAGAAGAAATTTGTTTTGACCATATGAGAACAAAGGCCGTGCTAAAAGGAAACTCAGAAGGGAAGACAGGTATATGAAGCAGAAAAGCTGCAGTCCAGCAATTAGTTGCATGCAGCAAGAAAGGAATCTGGGTAATAACTATGTTTATGAAGGAAAAGATACTTTGATCTGATTAGAATTCATAAAGTCTCCTGCTTCACCCTGAATTGTATGTCCCTCCTGCACTATGAACATCAACTTCCTTCACAACTACCTCTACAGCTGGAGCTTTCTTTATGTTATAGTCCAATCTGGACCTCCAGAAAAAAGTGACAGCATTATGATACCTGCACTGCCAAGAAAGCATCAGAATCTGAAAGCTTGTATCAAAGGATTTAATCTATTCTGTTGTTTCTTTTTCACAATGTTAAGAAACTAAAGTTTTATTCTTGCAATTCAACACAATTCATACTGTGATCTAGTAGCTGACGGCCCAGTGCACAATACACGTCCCTGTGTGCTTTGCGGATGTAGTTTTCTACATGCTCCACACCTTACAAACCCACACGGCCAAGTGCTAAGTAGTTCCAGTGCCCCTATGCTCACTCATTTCCTGCTCCCCTTTTTTGCTGCTCACGTCTAAGCTCAAAGCCTCAAACCTGGAGATAACCATGGCTTAAGTCAAGCAAGCAAGAAAATGCCTTGTGATGGTACTTGCACAAAATAATCATGAAAAAATTTAAGCGCGTATGTACGAATATGATAGTCTATTAGATAATTAATTATAGCTGAAAGGCCTAGAATTTAAGTTTCCTGCAACATATTCCACAGAACAGGAATTGAATCCTCAATACTTTGGTATGATTGCATACAGCATAACATTGTGTGTCCATAATCTCTCTTCTCTCTTAATCCTTCCCAGCTCCTATCTTATTTATTTTTTAAAAATTTTGCTGCCAACAGTTCACAACAATTTTCATTCACTGGTTAGCCAAAGCAGTTTTATTCCCTATCAAAATAAAAACATAATCTTTCACATGAAACAAATAGAAGTGAAAAGCTTCTACATGCACCTCATGCATTCTAAAGCACTAGACATGGAATAGAGCACACTACTCCCATCTCAATAAGAAAACCTACTTTAGAAGGTAACTGGTCTAACTTGCAAATAATCAATCAATCAATCATACAATAAATAAGTAGTTCAATAAAGATGATAACCATAGTTCAAATCGTAAACAGTTCATTACAGTCATCTAAACTACACAATCAAACAGTCATGACAAGGCATTTTCTACCATTGTTTGGGATTATGGATTATTCATAGATGGGATGGGACCACATGGTCATAGCCTCATCTTGTCACTTGACTTAGTTTCAAAATAAGTATCGTCATGGGTTTTCAGGTATGTCATGTTATCTTAGTTCATCTGGACCTCAATGTTGACAGGGGGTATGCGTAGAAAAAAAAAAGCAGCGATCTACTGAACCTTCAAGCGAAAAAGGCACCAGCAAGGATCATTTAAATTGAATTTGGTGTCAATAATGCTATGACAGGTTGGTCAAAGACAGTAATCACTAACCACCCTTTTCTTCCACTGTTCCACATAATTGCCGTCTCAAAATAACCAACAAGAAGGTATAATAAAGACAACAATGTGCCAAATTACCAAAATTTGGATCCCAAATCAATGTGCCATATTTTCACCAAAGATCCAACGATTAACAATGTGCCAGATCATATGGGATCAAAAATTTGGTTAATATTTTGGTGAACACAGCATTTGTCTGATAAGAAAGAACCACAATATTTTTGTCATACACAGATCTGACACACAACAGTTACAAAGTAATAACAATCTTTGACAACAATTTAACGTCTTCCCCTAGCGGCTTACACTGTCTACACTTAGACCCCTTTGTCCATCAACAATTTAACATTCAACTGCCACATGGAAAAGGTAAATATTATAACTTTTGACTTTACCCAACCAAATAATACACCCTTCTCTTTCCATAGACAACCATAAACTAGTCCCGTTTGCAAAGTACTGCCTACAATCTTCATTTCCAAACTAAAACCAACCAAAAAACACACATAAACCGATAATTGTCATTCTGAAAACAACATGAAACGAATGTAATCAGTACATTCGCATAAAAACCTGAACCTTTTCAAATAAAAACCCTACAAAATTTAACATATAGCCAAAAGTAAAAGCATAAAAAATCATAACATGAGACATAATACAAAATCAAATGATTTTACGACATACCCACTTCTTAAACGATTGAATGCAACCTTTCCCTCTCTCTCTCCCACGTTTGTGATGTAATCAAAACCGTCAAATGTAGATCCAATAACAAAGAGAAAACAAACTGAAAGGATTTAATTCAACAATGTCTTTCAGACAAGATAAATCGAATGATTCAACGGTTCTGCNCTCGTTTGTGATGTAATCAAAACCGTCAAATGTAGATCCAATAACAAAGAGAAAACAAACTGAAAGAATTTAATTCAACAATGTCTTTCAGACAAGATAAATCGAATGATTCAACGGTTCTGCGTTTCGTTTTTGTAGAGAATAGGGTTAGGTTTAGCAAATTGAGGAGAGAGAAGTAGCTCAGAGAGAAAGAAAGATTTACACGTTACAAACAATCTGCGTTAAATGCGCCGTAATTGGGTGTTATTTATACCGTTGGTCCAATGTGTTAGCAAGCTAGTGGCCCAACTTATGCAGAGTTTTTCTCTTCCACCGTTCTCTGCCAACGATTGAGAGTGGAAAAAGAGAAGGGAGCCAAGGCCAAATATATAGAGCAAGGCATCGTCAGTGTGTGTGTGCGCACGCTAGATAAGTATGGTCCACATGTGTCAATGGAAACAAGGGTCTTTTAAAGGACCTCAAGTAAATTTTAGTATACCTTAACTTAAACGATTTACAAATATGTCACGACTCATTAATAATCTTAAAGTCAAGACTATAGGACAGTTGTTGGTCATGAATTTTGGGTCCAGAAAGACAATGCATCCGTCTTTTATTTGAAGCAAATGCATAAGTCTCTCGTTAAGTAAAAGTTTCTTTTGTGCATGCATACTTGTGTTTAACCCATTTTCCAAGGTAGTCTCACAGCGCATGCCTTTAGATTGCCAGTAGTACTGCCATGCTTTTAATGGAGTGGCNTTCTTTTGTGCATGCATACTTGTTTTTAACCCATTTTCCAAGGTAGTCTCACAGCGCATGCCTTTAGATTGCCAGTAGTACTGCCATGCTTTTAATGGAGTGGCAGCTCAGCAGTGAGAGATCATTAAGTTGTGGATGGGTTCATCATTTCATTTACCAGTTGCAGTGCCTTATCCCAACCCCAACCCCAACCCCAACCCCAACTAACAGAGAAGTGACAATACCAAAATTTGAAGACAATGCATGTCTGCAGTATTGGTCCCATGGTCATGGGGCCGGCCAGGAGCTAATGCCATGGTTGAGCCAACATTGTCCTTTTCTGGTTAAAATCTATTTCCAGTTTTTCTCTGTCTGTCTGTCTGTCTGTCTGTCTTAACACACAACTAATTGCCAAAACCTCTTGCAGCAAGGCACAACAAGCAAGTACTTGTATGGCCATCATGGTTTACCTGGGTGGGACGATTCTCTTTCACTGGACTATCTACCTTGGTCTCGATATTCTGGTAATTGATCCAAGTTCGACCTTTTCTAGCTTTGGAGAAAACTAGTTAAGCTTAACCCCCCATGATAGACGTAATCTGGGAGGATACAGATTACAGACAGAGAGATGATTGTGATTTAATTTTTGATGCCAGACTCTTGGTTCCATAAATTCCAAACTGCAATGACCCGTCAAATCTGTCCTTATCTGAATGAAAAAGGCACAATAACATGTCGGATTGACTTCCAATTCCAAACAACAACTGTATACAGTTTTTTTTTTCTAGTACGTGTTTGCTTATGGGACTTCGTGAATCTTACAGTCACAAATGTAACGGTTGTGCCTTATCAGGGTTTTATGACTCTAATCCAAAACACATCCAACATTTTTCTTCAATTTTTTAAAGTGTACATCATCCATCATTAATTCAAAATTTTGTCCTTGCCAATAAGTGAAAACGTCAATCTATTTTTTCGATAATAATGTTTGTGTGGGTATGGATGTCCGATATTAATAAAAGATAGATTCAAATCGAAATGTATATCTATAAATTCAAAGGAGCAAATCAGAATTATGTGAGTTAGCGATATTAAATTGAAACATTGTAGTTACGAATGAGTATTTAATGGTGCGTAGNCCATTTTTTCGATAATAATGCTTGTGGGTATGGATGTCTGATATTAATAAAAGATAGATTCAAATCGAAATGTATATCTATAAATTCAAAGGAGCAAATCAGAATTATGTGAATTAGCGATATTAAATTGAAACATTGTAGTTACGAATGAGTATTTAATGGTGCGTAGTTCAAATAGTTTTCATTATTTATAAGAATCGTAAATCACATTTCAAATTGAAGACGCCCAATATATTTAGTAATTTGTATCTACATGGCACTCAAATTCAAAATAAGATCCATTATCTATGATTGTTCAAGGAAATCTAAGTATATGAGATCTCAATCCAAAAGTATTGGGTCTTTCCTAAAGTACAAAATTATGGCTGTAGTATGGACATGATTCTCAAGATTTTGGAAGGAAAGTACACATTTATCATTTATGGCTACATTATGTCCACACTATGATAGGGACAAAGTGATGACACAGCTCATTGATTCTTCTATGGCACTGTTCGGTGGATTAAGACTTACTTTAGTATTAGATATCGTAAAAACTAGATCGTTCACTGTGAATTGATAATAGGTTTTATTTAAGATTGATCTAGAGTCGAGTGTATCGACATTAGAATAGATCGTGATCTTGCTCCATAATAATTTACACACAAGNCACATTGATTCTTCTATGTCACTGCTCGGTGGATTAAGACTTACTTTAGTATTAGATATCGTAAAAACTAGATCGTTCACCGTAAATTGATAATAGGTTTTATTTAAGATTGATCTAGAGTCAAGTGTATCGACATTAGAATAGATCGTGATCTTGCTCCATAATAATTTACACACAAGATTTACAACCACCACACCTGGTTCAAGATCATAGGGTACTGGCTACCACGCTACATTAAATTTTTGAAAATTCAGAATGTCTCTTGCGTACTTTTTAATGCTCTTGCGCTATGAAGATATTTGAAAATCATTGTATACCTACAATTATGGCTAAACCAGCGTTGATTAATGATGGTTTAATATGAACCCAAAGAAAAATAATGTATCACAGCTGTTAATATAAGATACTCTCAATCCGTAAGCGTGTCACTAGTTCTTACTCTTNGCTATGAAGATTTTTGAAAATCATTGTATACCTACAATAATGGCTAAACCAGCGTTGATTAATGATGGTTTAATATGAACCCAAAGAAAAATAATGTATCCCAGCTGTTAATATAAGATACTCTCAATCCGTAAGCGTGTCACTAGTTCTTACTCTTAGCCATATACTTATCCCTTTCCTAAACAACAGATAAACTTCAATCCAGAGTAGTGACTCAATCACTGTTTCTCTTACATTTGTGGTATAAAGAGTTAGAAACTCTAGACATCAACCATTCACATACCGGTTTACACTTTGCATGCACAGAGACAGAGAGGAACAGGAAGCTCTAACATCGGATCTCTGGTAAGAGAAGCTTTCTTTGAACTCCATTCTCCTTTGTCCATTTTGTTATGCAACTGATAATTTATGAACATTAGATGTGATGTGATACTCACAAGTTAACAAAATATAAATATCCTTTTTCTTAATCTTTCGGCAAGTTTCGTATACATGATTTTCTTCGATAATACCATATTAAACAACCATCTATTCTAAAAGTGAAAAGTGAGAATGTAACTTAAATATTTATATTTTAAGAAAAGTTTCGTATCATACTCTGTATATACGATTACGAACATATCTATACGGAAGATTAAGAGTTCANGTGAAAAGTGAGAATGTAACTTAAATATTTATATTTTAAGAAAAGTTTCATATCATACTCTGTATATACGATTACGAACATATCTATACGGAAGATTAAGAGTTCAATTGTTAAGGTAGCCTGTTCAAGAAAATTCACACGCAGAGAAAAAGAAGTAAGAAGAATAGGAGAAGAGCAAAAGCTTTGTTTGTGAGGTATTTATTTTCTTGATAGCCATTGATTTGCTTGAACTTTTCTTGATTTTGAAAGCAACAGAGACTGCACGTGCCTTAGGTTTTTCTTTTGCTATCCTTCTGCCATTTTATTTCCTTGTTTTGCATCGTACGCCATTTGCTTTTGATGATGGGTCCATTCCATTGTATTGTTCGTCAAGCAAAGGGATTGAAAATTAGTTTAAGAAAGATTATATAAAAAAAAAGGTTCTCACTTTTCTCACTCTAGCGTTCAATTCTCTTGCAATTTGTTCATTAGGATTGTTCGTTTGCAGTTTTCTATATAATAATGATATCAAATTTAGAATCTAAATAAACCAAGAGTTTAAGAAATACTTCCCTCCTATAATAACATTGGTAGAAATAAACTTTTTAACTCCTCAATGTGTAGTCTAATTAAGTGGTTCATGGGGTTACGATCTATGTATGTATATATGATGAATGATATCAATTTTTTAATACGGTTTTAACTATTTCATCAATTGAATCGTGTATTTCTGTCACCATTTCTCGCAGGTTCTCTTAAATTGATATTATCAAAGACTGATTTCGCACATTTGCTTTCCCGAATCCTGAGTTGAAGTTCTGCTGAAAATTTATATTTATAATTGGAATCAAATGGAAGGGGGTATTGCTAAACCGGACAAAACAGAATTCACAGAATGCTATCGAACAACTTGGAAAACACCTTACATAATTCGCCTTGCCCTGTCAGCTGGCATTGGAGGGCTTCTCTTTGGTTACGACACAGGTAACTAATTTTTGTCCCTCTTCTATTATTAATGCAGGGACATTGCATGCAAATGGAGGAACCTTAAGCATACCAACTTTTGGTTATTTTACTATCTTTACTATATACATGTTGCTCAATGGGTTTGTAATTTGTAAACTTTGTTGTTGTGATATAGGTGTTATTTCTGGTGCCTTCTCTACATACGGGATGACTTCAAATCTGTTGAGAGGCAAACATGGCTGCAGGTACATATGCTACTCTTAGTTGCTATCCATTAGTACATATAAAATTTTTCATTAATTTTTTTATCAGATGAATAACCATACGTGTTTATAAATTGTGCAGGAAACCATTGTGAGCATGGCTGTAGCAGGCGCTATTGTTGGTGCGGCATTGGGTGGATGGATGAATGATAGGTTTGGAAGGAGAAAATCAATTCTGGTAGCTGATGCTTTGTTCCTTATTGGGGCAATTGTCATGGCGCTGGCTCCTTCTCCCGGGTTGATAATTTTTGGAAGAGTACTTGTGGGTTTGGGAGTTGTAATGGCGTCCATGACCGCACCTCTTTATATATCAGAAGCTTCTCCTGCCAGAATTAGAGGGGCATTAGTTAGCACAAATGGTTTGCTAATTACAGGAGGGCAATTTCTAGCCTACCTTATCAACTTAGCCTTCACTAAGGTGCTAAAATTTGAGTTTTTTCAGTTGTCCTAATTTTTTGAACCACTAATTTCGTTAATATTTAGAATGTAAGATTGATTGCGGAATAATTTCATATGTATGCTTCAGACAACTGGAACCTGGCGTTGGATGCTTGGGGTGGCAGGATTTCCAGCTCTTGTTCATTCATATTTATGTTGTCGCTTCCAGAGTCTCCTAGATGGTTATATCGGCAGGTAATAACCACCCTTTACTCGATTTTATTTAACCAGTACCCTCAATTATGTCCATGAATTGTGAGAAGTTATGGCCTTTGTTACCTTGTTTGACTTTGGCAATGGTAGAAATAGTTTTTACAAGCAAGTTTGATGAATGTGCATGTTGATATGTGATCAGGATAATGTAGAAGAAGCCAGGGCAATCCTAGAGAAGATCTATCCTGCCGATGAAGTTGAAGAGGAAATGAAAGCATTAAAGTTGTCTGTAGAAGCTGTAAAGGCCGAGGAAATTTCTATTGGTGATGATTTTATTTCAAAACTCAAAGGTGCTTGGGGCAATTTAGTTGTCCGAAGGGGACTCTATGCCGGTATCACTGTTCAAGTTGCTCAGCAGTTTGTTGGTATCAATACTGTCATGTATTACAGTCCTACCTTAGTTCAGCTGGCTGGGTTTGCTTCAAACAAGACAGCTTTAGCACTCTCTCTGATTACATCTGGTCTGAATGCTGACGGCTCCATTTTTAGTATGGCTTTTGTGGACAGATTTGGGAGGAGGAGGTTGATGATGATCTCTATGTTTGGGATCATTTTTTGCCTATTGGTGCTATCCGCCGTGTTTTATGAAGCTTCTTCCCACTCCCCTCTTGTCAATAGTTTTGAATCCACCCACTTTGGAGCCAACTCTACATGTCCGAGTTACTTGAAAGTGTCCGATGCATCATCTTGGAATTGTATGACATGCTTGAAAGCATCTTCTTGTGCATTTTGTGCTAATGGGGACAGCAAAGTAAGTATACTGCGCTCATCTCTTTGGTTTTGTTTTTAATAGTTTTCTCAACTTAGCTTGCAATGTCATTTTTTTTTTTTGCATCTCCTAATTAATTTAATTTTCTATGTGAATCAGTATCTACCTGGAGCATGCCTAGCTGCAAAAGATGCTATTAGGGGATCGTGCCGTGCAGAACGACGTACCTGGTACACAAATGGTTGTCCAAGCGAGTTTGGTATTGTGGCTGTATTATTTCTGGGACTCTACATTTTATCATACTCACCTGGAATGGGAACGGCACCTTGGATTGTGAACTCGGAGATATACCCCTTGAGGTACAGAGGCCTTGGTGGAGGAATCGCGGCAATTGCTAACTGGATTTCTAATCTAGTAGTGAGCTAGACGTTCTTAACACTGACTAAGGTTCTTGGTTCTGCTGCCACATTCCTCTTGTTTCCTGGTTTTTCCTTCATTGGACTGGTAGCCATATTTTTCTTTGTACCTGAAACCAAAGGATTACAATTTGAGGAGGTTGAGAAGATGTGGGAAAAAGGCTACAGACCAAGCTTCTTATGATTCAAGAGACAGAATGGTGATTCTACTGAAGTTAATTAGCCACAAGGATGTCATGGAAACATAATTATTTTCAATTCTTTTTTAAGCCTAGACTAAACTAATTCGACTTAATTCCAAGGCTTGCTTTGAATTTTTGCAAGATCAAACTGTTTAAAGGATTTTGTTAAAAAAAAACTGCTTTAAGGATATGTGTTTTTCATCGACATAGAGAACATATGTGGTTAACACATCTTTTAGATTTTGATTATGATAGTTTACTTGTTGAAAATAATCGATTCGTGACCATTCTTTTTGTAGTTGTATATAATTGAATATAAGTCTTGTTATATTTTTCATTATAAACAGGCCTACATAACCACCCCATGAAAAAAAAATTAATAATAATAATAATAAAACAAATAAACCCATCCGTAGGAGTGTCAAACATGTCGGGTTAGGTCATTTCGTGTCGAATTTGTTTCGTGTTTGTGTCAAAAATTTTTAAACACTAACCTAATATGTTTAATAATCGTGTCGAAATGTATAAACACTAACTTGACATGTCCATTAAACGTGTTATCCGAACTTGACATGTTTGACACGTTTAATAAACAAGTCATTTTCAAGTTAACACATTCCACAACATGTTAACATGTTTAACTCATATATCAAATTCTATTTGTTTAACACCTTTAAAAAAAAATCAAAAAGATTTTATTGAATAAAATTCAAAAAATTACAAAAAATAAAAGGAAACCAATTCCTAACATCCATTTCCAATTAAATGGCTTTAATCCTCTAAAACATGAAAAAAAAAATCAAAAATTTCTTCTATGAACACTAAAAATAGTCATTTTCAATTCTTGCACAATCATTCCAGCTCCAGATCTGCTCCAGTAAGCAGCTACAAGCAGAATACAAGCTTTCAATGCTTGCACAATTAACCCACATACAAAGCAGTACATTTTTGGTCAAAATACAAACAAAAATATATAAATTTTCAATACAACTTGTAAAGTTAAGTATAGAAAAACAAGTGATCGTAGAAATTTACATATTGCAGAAATTCATTTGTTCCCAAAAGTACTCTCTTCTAGAAGGTCAAAGAGCCNCGACTTAGCTTGCAATGTCATTTTTTTTTTTTGCATCTTCTAATTAATTTTCTATGTGAATCAGTATCTACCTGGAGCATGCCTAGCTGCAAAAGATGCNCAACTTAGCTTGCAATGTCATTTTTTTTTTTTGCATCTCCTAATTAATTTAATTTTCTATGTGAATCAGTATCTACCTGGAGCATGCCTAGCTGCAAAAGATGCNGTTTTTCTGTCTTCTTACCCGATACTTTGCGGAAGAGTTTTTCTTTGCCTACTCTACTCGATTAATCGGGTAAAATTTTTTGTAATAATTAATTTTTGGATCATTTTAATAATTTAATTAAATAACATGCACTATTTTAACATCACAATAAATCAATTAACACTAAAATTTAAAACAACTACAACAAGAATNGCTATTAGGGGATCGTGCCGTGCAGAACGACGTACCTGGTACACAAATGGTTGTCCAAGCGAGTTTGGTATTGTGGCTGTATTATTTCTGGGACTCTACATTTTATCATACTCACCTGGAATGGGAACGGCACCTTGGATTGTGAACTCGGAGATATACCCCTTGAGGTACAGAGGCCTTGGTGGAGGAATCGCGGCAATTGCTAACTGGATTTCTAATCTAGTAGTGAGCTAGACGTTCTTAACACTGACTAAGGATCTTGGTTCTGCTGCCACATTCCTCTTGTTTCCTGGTTTTTCCTTCATTGGACTGGTAGCCATATTTTTCTTTGTACCTGAAACCAAAGGATTACAATTTGAGGAGGTTGAGAAGATGTGGGAAAAAGGCTACAGACCAAGCTTCTTATGATTCAAGAGACAGAATGGTGATTCTACTGAAGTTAATTAGCCACAAGGATGTCATGGAAACATAATTATTTTCAATTCTTTTTTAAGCCTAGACTAAACTAATTCGACTTAATTCCAAGGCTTGCTTTGAATTTTTGCAAGATCAAACTGTTTAAAGGATTTTGTTAAAAAAAAACTGCTTTAAGGATATGTGTTTTTCATCGACATAGAGAACATATGTGGTTAACACATCTTTTAGATTTTGATTATGATAGTTTACTTGTTGAAAATAATCGATTCGTGACCATTCTTTTTGTAGTTGTATATAATTGAATATAAGTCTTGTTATATTTTTCATTATAAACAGGCCTACATAACCACCCCATGAAAAAAAAATTAATAATAATAATAATAAAACAAATAAACCCATCCGTAGGAGTGTCAAACATGTCGGGTTAGGTCATTTCGTGTCGAATTTGTTTCGTGTTTGTGTCAAAAATTTTTAAACACTAACCTAATATGTTTAATAATCGTGTCGAAATGTATAAACACTAACTTGACATGTCCATTAAACGTGTTATCCGAACTTGACATGTTTGACACGTTTAATAAACAAGTCATTTTCAAGTTAACACATTCCACAACATGTTAACATGTTTAACTCATATATCAAATTCTATTTGTTTAACACCTTTAAAAAAAAATCAAAAAGATTTTATTGAATAAAATTCAAAAAATTACAAAAAATAAAAGGAAACCAATTCCTAACATCCATTTCCAATTAAATGGCTTTAATCCTCTAAAACATGAAAAAAAAAATCAAAAATTTCTTCTATGAACACTAAAAATAGTCATTTTCAATTCTTGCACAATCATTCCAGCTCCAGATCTGCTCCAGTAAGCAGCTACAAGCAGAATACAAGCTTTCAATGCTTGCACAATTAACCCACATACAAAGCAGTACATTTTTGGTCAAAATACAAACAAAAATATATAAATTTTCAATACAACTTGTAAAGTTAAGTATAGAAAAACAAGTGATCGTAGAAATTTACATATTGCAGAAATTCATTTGTTCCCAAAAGTACTCTCTTCTAGAAGGTCAAAGAGCCATGGTGATCTCTAGGGGTATTCACCTTACTCTACAGGTAGAAAATATGTTTTTCTGTCTTCTTACCCGATACTTTGCGGAAGAGTTTTTCTTTGCCTACTCTACTCGATTAATCGGGTAAAATTTTTTGTAATAATTAATTTTTGGATCATTTTAATAATTTAATTAAATAACATGCACTATTTTAACATCACAATAAATCAATTAACACTAAAATTTAAAACAACTACAACAAGAATTATAATAAAACACAAAAAAGTATGAACATCAATCCACCATAGTTGTTATACAAATACAATAACAATTAATTTAAGTTTAAACTTTAAACCATATGAAATACATTAACATGCACCATATATATATATTAAAAAATTATTACAGGTATGGTAGGGTAGGGTAGGAATGCGACAATGGATGACTATTCCGTATTCCTACCTAAAAATTATCGGAAGACCAAAAACTCTTCCACATTCCTACCCAATTTTTGTGGCTAGTCGTTCAGTAGGGTAGGGTAGGGTAGGAACTTGCGATGGGTCAAAAATTTGAACACCCCTAGTGATCTCTCAAGCGGTAAAAACAAATGACTTGAACAAATCAAACACTGAAATTGTACTCAGGGGAGACGGTGTTGATGGAGAAAATAACAACAAAAATGGCCCATTTTTTGACTGTTCTATACTTCAATGAGTCACAGCGCGTAGAGAGAGAAAGAGAAAGAAAACACAGTGTCGTCGACACAGAAAGAGAACACACAACAAGAAAGAGGGGGGCAAACCTTTTCAGTTGAGCAACAATGGAGGCTTGAACTAGGAGAACGATGATGGTGGAACAGTGAGCCCTCTTCTTCTCCTCGAGACCAAGCGACCAACGACGGGTGAGTCAGATTGAAAAAGTGGCAGTGGATTAGGGTTATGCTTTTTTTGTTACTTTTATATATTTGGATAAATGGGTAGGTCGGGTTCAGGTTAAATTATATCAATTTGTTTAAAATATACGAGTTAATCAAGTCAAAATCGAGTTGATCTGATTTCGACATGAACCTGACTTGTTTTTTTTTGTATTTATACGTGTTGACCTATTTTTATTTATTGACCCATTTAATTTTGTGTTGGACTCATTAATTTCGTATTCAATTTGTGTCGTGCTAGCGTGTCATGCCAAAAATTGACAGCCCAACTAGGGATATCAGTGGACCAAAACAGGGGCGGGGAGTATAGAATTCATCCCTGTACCCACTTAAAAAAATTTCGTCCATCTCCGGTCCACCCCTGATAACGGGTATAGTTTTCATCCTCATTTCCGTTCCGTGGAAAAATTTCTAATCCCCGTCCTCGTCTATGCTTCCCCCGTACCCGCCTAAGTCCAAGCTCAAGTAGTATAATCCAAAATTTTAAATAAATTTAATATTTTAAATAATCCAACAACATTCCAAATAATTTAACATAATCTACCACAACATAATGTAGATTGCAAAATATAAAAGTCAAAATAATATAATATTCTATTTAAAGTGTCATTGGATCACAAAAAGATAAACGAAACTTAATGGGACATTTCCAAATACTCTAAGATGAAGACACGTGTCCTCGGCATCAGTGAATCCTTGTTACTGTGATCACGACACGTACCCAGCGGTTCACAAGTCCCTCTTCCCCCCCGAGGTACTGTTCATAAGGATCAATGACACTCAATACATTTACATACCGACATGTATCCCTCGGTCGGATATGGGTACATCGGTACCTACATGTACCACTCCCCTCGGTACCGAGATGTACTCGTCCAGGATGACGTTCTTTGCTCCTGTAGATTCTATTGATGTACAGGTCACTAGCTTAAGC